ACTTCTCCATTTCATACCCATTTCTCCATTGAATAAAAGTCCCCTTGAATCGATAAGCCACCCAAAATCTTCATTCCCTACAGGCCCTTGATTTCTTATAATAAATTTGCAAACAGTGGTTGCAAATTGGGGACAATTTGTTGACACTACAGTGGAGATATCGAACAAAGATGGTGCTGCTAATATAGTGGGGAAAATGGTTGTAGACTTGAAAGATGAAAGTGAGCCATATGGAAGGATGGTCATGGAGACAATTTAGAAAGTGGTCACAAACTTGGGGTTGGGGGGCATCTGATATTGATGCTCACTTGGAATAGCTATTAATTGATTAAATTCTCTATGCATTCCAAGAGCAAACAAGTGGTGATGCTAATATTATGCTAATGTATTTGGTGTCGTTATGAATTCCCTTGGAGAGAGAGTGAAGCCACACCTTCCCCAGACATAAGTTACCATAAAATGGCAGCTAAACAATAAGAGTGCAAAAGTGAGGCAATAAGCAACACATATGATATCTAGAATTGCTGTGGTGATGAAATGGTGTGGAAAGTGGTAAAGAATTGGGGAAGGTGGTGACGGTGGCAGGGACGAAGTGGTTGGTTTAGTTTTCGGTGGTGTGGGTGGGGTGAGAAAGAAGAAGGCGTTTCATTCCATTTTTTTTTTCCAATTTTGATGTAATATTTTAATTGTTTATAATAGGGAAATGTAAAGTTACCTTTTTGCTCCCTTAAAAATAGTTAAAATATGGTCAAAATACTTTTTTGGTCAACTAACGAACAAATGGTTGGATGCTATCCATTTGGACTCCAAATGCATATTTTTAAAAGGTTAAGGATCTTCGCTGGCACAAACTAAAAATTAAGGTAAAATCCGCAAAAATTAAAAATGTTAGGGACTATTGCCATTTTTCCTTTAAATTAAGCGTGCTTAGTAACCACAAAAATCTTTCTTCTGAATATCAAAATATTATAAAAATAAAAAAAATTCTGGGAATGGAAATTCATGCCATATTTCATAAGATTGACTAAGATTTACACTTTTAAGTTATGCATACTTTAACCTGTTTTTATTTTCTTAAGAAAATCTCTGCATTCTACTTGGAAATGGAAGAGTATTGGTGGACAATGAAGTTTCCAAAAACTAATTAATTTGGATCATTTTCAGATGAAAGCTCCATTTGTTGAAAAACTTCCACAATTTCCACAATAAAAGATAAGGAAAGATCTCAACATCCAATGGAATAATTTTTCCAATTTCATGGTCAAGCAAAGTTTGTTTTATTTTTGGAAAAAGTGAAGTTCAAAATGGTGTGATGAGCACCACTCCCTTGAGATGAAACCACAACCAACACGTAAACCATAAATTATCACATCAAGTGATAATCATTTTTTGGATGCTTTTAACATATTACAATTTATTTATTTCAATAATACCTTACTTTTCGTTTATCAATATGTAATAAATACTACAAAATCCTTATCATGTATGAATTTCATGTTATTAATTCTCAATTAATTAATATTCATAATAATCGAGACTTAATGAATCTTGACTTGATGAATCTTGACCTACATAAATCTAGAGTTATCATAGATAAATTTATTTCTATCATGTATCGAAAAATTTTAATAAATTTTTAAATTCATTGTTGGTAGTAAATTCTTATGTACCAAGTGGAGTATAAAATGGTTGCTCATTCGTAGTATTCATCATTTCAAAAAAAAATTTAAATTTTAGTAGTTTAGTTTTGAGAGTACAATTTTCTTCTCTTTAATTTATATCCTAATTTTTTTTCCTTAGATCGTTTGAGACTCATCAAATCCTCCAAATAAATTAGTATCAAATATTACTTTTACAACATTTGTAAAGCATTTCATAATAACATGCAATGGATGTTCAACTTTGATTATTATAGACCAAAAGTCATAAAATATCTTATAAGATATATTAAGCACTTCTAATAATGAATTTATAAGTATCNGAAAAAAAATGAAATTCATAAAAGTGTGATGAGCACCACTCCCTTGAGATAAAACTCAACCAACATGTTAACCACAAAATACCTTGTACACTTATCTTTCTTAAGCTTTCATTTCTTCTATATATATATCCACACACACAAACGCACTTACGTCAAACTCGTCATTACCAACCCCCTCCCAATTATATCTTTGCATTTCAAATTAGCCATGGGAAAGAATGTCATCTTTATGTTGCTGGCAATCGTCTACTTGCTTATCAACGTTGTTACATCTCTAAATAGCTCCACCGATGAGTATGCTCTTCTAGCTTTCAAATCTCAAATAACTTCCGATCCAAATAAAATCTTGGAAAAAAATTGGTCACATGGAACCTCGTTCTGCAATTGGATTGGCATTACTTGTGGCAGGAGACATCAAAGAGTTAGGGGCTTAAATCTAGCAGATATGGGTTTAGGAGGAATTATTGCTAAAGAAATTGGTGAACTCTCTTTTTTGAGATCCTTAATTATTAGCAATAATAGTTTTCATGGGTTTATCCCTAATGAAATTGGTAAGCTCAAGCAGCTTCAAGAAATAGAGATGCGGAGCAATGGATTCACCGGAAATATTCCTAACAGGATTTTCAACCTCACTTCTCTAATTGAAATTAATTTTCGAAACAATAGTCTCTCAGGAAGTCTACCTATGGATATTTGCTTCAATCTTCCAAACCTAGAGAGGCTAAGTATTTCAGAGAATCAATTGAGTGGCAACATTCCTCCAGGCTTGGGAGCTTGCATGAATCTTAAACGACTTTCTGTGTCATACAATAATTTTACC